CTACTAATGTGGGTTACCTTTCTGCAAGTACTATCACTGGGTTACCTCTCCTCTTCGTCACCTCACTGGGTTACCTCTTCGTTGTTATTACCAGGAGGCTTCCCGAACACAGCTGTATCTTCCTGGAAGAACTGGATTCGAAAAAGTACACATAAGTCATCAAACTGTCCATGATGTTCGCATATGCAGGAAAATATTTGCGGGATGTGGATGCAACAACAAACAAAGAATCCTGAAGACGAAAGTTGACGCTTATCAAATTTACAGCGCGCACGTACAAACACAAAAAATTAATTAAAATCGGAGAGAAGATTAGAAAAAGCCTGAATTTTCCGCCTGAATTCATTCAATAAACTTATTAGATCTGAAAAACTTTCAAATGATAAAAATAGTCCGCTCCTGTCCTTTATTTTATGCAGAATAAAAGGGCAAATTTTATTAAAAGTAAAGTATAGAAATGCCTTGGAAAAGTATTCAGGATGCCTGTTACATTTGCTAGACAAAATTTCCATGTTCATAATTCGATGGTTTAATATTGTGATCAGTTGTTATTTCTTCGTCTTTGCTCTCGCTATTGACGAAGCTAGGCATCTTCGCCAGTCTTTATTTGTGCTTATATCATTCGCAAAATTCCATATAGCCGTTCAAACGAATCTTTCTATCACACTGGCAGCCTTCCTTTTTTACTCAAGTACCATTCAGCAATCCGTTTTATCCACCGTTTCTCTCCTTCTTATCACCTGACCATCCGACACTTAATTCCAAATAGCGGTTCAAGCGGATCATTTCACCACATCGGCGACTTTCTTGTTTTCTTTTAGTTTGCATAAGCACCATTAAACAATCCACTTTGCCCATCAATGTCTTTCATTCCTGCTATTTGATTTTATTCGTCGTAACTAAAGAACTAAAATTTATCGCCATGAGGGTTTTTTGTGTTTTTTACGAAAATGCGTTTTTGCAAAATCAATGTATGTTTGTAACTGTCTGGAAGATTTGTATGTGTATCTATTTATATAATAGTATGAACCGCTTTTATCCGATACCAAACTTCGATAGCCAAGATGGTAAAATTTGGAAGTACCATCCGCCGGTCGAACACAGTTCACTAGCGTAAAATCAGCTTCCACGTCCCGACGTAGATTTAGCTTCACAATTGATCTGATGCACATCATCAGCTGTAAAGCTAAATCTACGTCAGAACATGAATAACCCCGACTAGTAAAACAAAGAGGCAGGAAAAAAGCAAGTGGAATTTTTCTGTGTGTAGAATGTTCGTCGAATTTTTTCCTTATTATGAGCCTACGATACCTTATCGCATTGTTTATGTTTGGAAATAAATAGTGGTAAATTTCAGCTTTTGATGGCTTTGGTCAGTTTCTTCGAGGTGATGTACTGGCCACTCTCGATGATCCAATCGTTCACAACCTGGTCGTCTCCGTTCATTACCTATTACTCAGTTTTGATTGCACTAAGCGCCGCCATACTGTTCTTTCAGTTCTTCCAACGTAGTATTATTGAAGAAATGTTGCCTCATATGCAATATAGTTTCAAGTAATGCTGTCATCAATGATACTCGAAAACAGGTCATTCTGCGTGTACGTACTGCATAATATTTTGCAGTTTTTTTCATTTTTTTCATTTTTTTTT